CTATTCTGTAATAGAATCAAATTAATATTATTATTGTACTTTGAAAATGCAAATTTCACAGAGAAAGTGAAATTTTTGATTCGTTTTCTGCATAATTTACAGAGACAATGTGAAAAAAGTGTCACTTTAAAATGTTAATTTCAATTTTTTTCTCCTCACTATGTTTGCAAATGAATACACAATTGATGATCAATTTGATTGTTACAACAATTGATTTGCATATAATCAACATCTTAAACTTTGATTACGAATCTTTTTTTCATCAATTGCAATTCTCATGTTCATATTATTGTAGTAATTTCTAATTGCGAAATATTTACTCTTATTATCCAGCAAATTGTTTAGTCTTTAGTTGTAAATTAACCTTTGAAATTCAATTTTTATCGTTAGCAATTTAGGTATGGATTATTGTTGTTGTTGATTCTTGTTTGTTTTTGTTGTAGTTTCATGTTGATAGTTTTTCATTGATGTTTTTTCTGGTTTATGATAACATTGGACTCATATTTTTTTTTTACTATCCTTGAGTCTGGTAATGACCACTTGACTTGCTTCAAATGTTATTATATCCAAAAGTTTGTAAGGAATGATGATGATAATGATGATGATGGAGGAGGAATGTGTAGACATATCTACATGGAGGGTGGGGATGATATCGATGGCAGGGATAAGGGAATGAGAGAGATGGAGGAGTAGGAAATGTTATCTTGAGGATAACGAGTAAAAAGCATCTTCATCTTTGGTAAAAAAAGTCTATCTTCACATTTTCTCTCTATGACCAAAGAGGATGAAGATGAAGATAATGATGAAGATGAAGATGATGATGATGGTCTTTATAATTGTACAATGAAAAGGATAAAGATGATTATATTTAGGAGGAGGAAGAGTAGGCAAAATAAAAAAAGAGAATCGAATTGTTTATAAGTACTTTTCTCGAATTCTTTTTTCCCTTCTCCTCATCCTGAATAAGAGCACTTGACATGAGGCTAATTCGACATAATGATGATTGTAATTTTCTGTAACAATATAATGAGAATAACATTGATTTCAAATACCACTGTTAGGTAACTACTGAGAAGATTATTGAGAAGTTCATGGAAAATAAAGAGAGAGAGAGAGAGAGAGAGGAAGAGTGAATTCTGAGGTTCAGGTGAAAGTTTTTTTTCTTCCCTCCTTAGGATTAGGATTATCTCAGAATCTTCTTAATCAAATGATTATTCATCATATTCTATCAAAATATTATCATAATTGTAAAGATGGAGACTTGAGATATGCACTTTCATGAATATATCTCAGTCACTGGGTCCATTATTATTGTGACAATCAACTAATTGAATAATTTGATTAGCGGGAAAAGTAATAGGCTGACGTTTTTTTCACCTTCCTTTGTGTTCAATTTAATTCCAGTTGATCAGATTTTATATCATTCATTGTGAGATCAATTCTTTTTTCCCGCTTCATTCATTTTCAAATATTGTCAACATGATAATCATTATCATCAGTTGATTGTCATAATCATTAAGCTTTTATCTTCCTAGATTTATGACGATGATGGTGATGATAATATTAGGTTATCATTAGTCTAATTGAAGTGTAATATTTAAGATGGTGATGATATTCAATGTTAATGATTAATTTTTTCCCTTCTAATATCATATGTTGATATCACAATGTTATCGAAACTTTTTTCAAGTTGAAATCGAATTTCTATCAATTTAATAAGAAAATTGTAACAATCAACGATTCAATTATCTTGGTTACAATTTACTTTTCTCTTCCTTCTAATAATATATATTATCGTCATTCTGATGATAATAACAACAAATGATTAAACCGATGCGAAAAAAGGTTACAAGGATAACAATGTTTATTATCTGGTTTCTATTATCATTTTGATTGTTACAGATGATTGTTATTCACTCAACGTGAATATCATCCTTTTCATCGTCATCATCATCTTTTTTCATTCATCGTCGATCATCATTATCATCATCTTAGTTTTTGTATCGGATTAACCTGCAATTTTTTTGTAACTTTTAATTGGTAAACTGTTATATGCCTATGATTATATTCAGTGTGTACTTATGATTATGTTGGAGGATTTTTCAATGGCGATTCAGGGAGAGAGAGAGAGAGAGAGAGAGAGATGATGAGGATGAAAAAAGTTATTTGGATGATAGATCTAGATTCAAGAAAGATTTTCCGTATCATTGCATATTGTAATTGGATTTATAATCTCAAGTTTGTTTCGACAATATTATCATCTTCATCTTTTTTTATCTGCCAATGTCTCTCTCTCTCTCTCTCTCTCTCTCTCTCTCTCTCTACTTTGTCACCGTCATCATCATCTACCAATAAACCTCAGTGTTTTTTAATTCCTCTACTGAAATTTTATCCTATTCAACCTTTGAATGCATTGATTGTAAATGTATTTTTGCAACAATGTTGTTGTGATTAGTTAATTGTTTGCATTTCTTTTATAATCAATATAAAAATCATCCATTAACGCTGTGAATCTAATTGATTAGCTTCTGGTGAAAAGTGCAAAAGATGTTGATTAATTTGATTGATTATAATTTGTAATTGCTAAATATCAAGGTGACTTGTGAAAAAGGATTCATATTGATCCGATAACAAACTTTGCCCTAAGGGCGATTTTCACCAAATCTAAACATGGAAAATTTTTACGGAAATTTTGTCTATCATGATTTATATCAAAATGATGACAAGAATTGTTGGGAAAACAAAAGATGAAGCTATAAAAACAAATCGTATTCCCAGTAACTTACTCTAGAGATTCATGATGAATCGAAATGAAATCACAAATTCTTAACTATCTCTCTCTTACCACCATCAGAATCCAATCTAAAGTCATGGTAACACCAGAATTTTTCTGTTTGATAATCTTGACTTTCAGAATCTTCTACCTCTTCACTTAGCTTCCTCTTTTCTACTGATAAATACTCACACTCAACATGATAATCAAAGAGTCAACTCTCACCATGAAACATTTCCATGAACTATTATTACCTGATGGTATTCAAGCGGAATAGTAAAAAAAGGTAATCAAAAAGCTCAGGGTGGTAACATTAATCCTGAATACATAGATATATATATAAATAACAACTTTACCCTGAGGGCGAATGAATCAAATATTTTTCTATCATCATCACTCTTTCCAAGTTATCAGCCAAAATCTGAGTAGGATAAGGTTGAATTATCTTTCATGATGATAATCATCATCTTTCAAGAGGTGAATGGAATTGATTCATGATGATTGGAAGACGATGATTGTGAAGGAGTAGATGAAGAGAGGATGATGAGGATGCTTGTATTGCCTCAGGTAAAAAAATGAATAAATTGCTTGGGAACCAATGATAACTCAGAACACTAGAGAGATAGAAATAAAAACAACTTTAGATAATTTTTTCATGTTACAACATTTTAATCAGATAATTAGTGAAATAACTAATTAAAGTTTGACTGTAATTCATATTATGATGATTATAAAAACATCACCAAACCAATGTGACAATAATTAGTGTTACTATTATGAATTATTTGTCAACTCGATTTCTTATATTAAATATTAATAATAACAATTGTTTCGTTGTTGTTATTAATATTTCGTCATTTAACTCTCTCTCTCTCTCTTTCTCTTTCTCCATTAATTTTTGTAGTTGTTTTGTTGATTGTAATGACGTTTAATTGTTTGATCTGTTGTCTGTAAGAGATGATGTTTGTATTTCATCATCTTCCTCATCATCTTTTTCATCCATTTCCATTGAGGTATCAACTGGAAGCAAATCAATTTCACGGTTACCAGAATCGCTAAGAATTGGTGAAAACTTTGTCAAGAAATGATAATGATGATAATAAGAATAAGAATGAGAATGAGAATGATGAAGATAGAGTAAAAAAAGTAAAGAAAGAGAGAACAACTTTCTTAGTTCTATCATCTTCATCTTCATCTTCATCGTCTAATTTCAATCTTCTTCTTTCGCTTCAATGCAATCAAAACATGTAATTACTTATGGCCCATTGATGAAACGAAGAGAATGTCACTCGAAGGGAAGAAAAACTTTCTCATGTTATCCTTTTCCTTTTTTCTTAGGTAAATTCGAAACTTTTTTTTCTTTTTCTCTCTTTTGATTGTGAAAATTTTCTCCAAATCTAATTATCTTCAAAAATAATTAGCTCTTTTCCATTTAATCAATTCTAGCGGTGGGGTCTGGCGGCTGATGGTACTCCAGACTATTCGTGCACTTATTCAACAAGACAATTGTCGTTTCTTGTTTCTTAATCATCATAACGATTAATCTTGAATGTCGAAGATTAAAATTCAAAGTTAATCCATTAAAACCTTAAGCATTAGGACTTTTCACTTTAGATACTCGAGTCACCATCTACAGGACATTGTAGCAACTACCATCTCCATTTTGCTTGATAAGACTTTCAAATCATCGAATCCAATAATTGGTACAACAAATTGAACTTGAATTCTCAATAGTTTTCAATTCTCAATATTCGAAGGATTTTCCCAATAATAGCACCAAAATGATTTCCTTAAATGGTCATCTGTATCGATACCCAAATATTAATAGTTTAATTTTCGGCAAGTTAACTGCTACTAGTGATGTTCTGACACATAATAAATCAAATTATGCTAAAATTGTGGCCATTTTGGTCATCGTGAAATCAGCTGTCGGAAGTGGGTGATTTGTTTGAGGTGGTTATACAAAATGCAACAGAGAAATGGTTAATTTGAGATGTTTTTCCTGTGGTTCATTTGGAAATTCCAATCATGGCAATTGGCCAAATTTTAAATACCATTTGCAATTGGCTCTGTAAAAATTATGATTACAATTTACTCATTTCGATTCTGAATATTTAATCATGAAGTTTTTGTGTTCGTTTATTGTTTAATTGATGCTTAATAAATGTTGAAAGAAATTGATAGATAATAATTGTTTGTCTTTGTAATTTGATTATTCAAGAATTGATCTTGTTGGTTTATTTTCTCAGCCGTTCATGAGCATGTACTTTATTATTAACCGCTCTTTCAATTTGTCCGTCACCTTATTCCTTTGGGTCTTCGGTGACTTTTTAACCATCACCATTAGTATCGGTGGTTTTTCCCTTTTTTTCATCTTCATCGGCTGATAAGTTGGAAACAATTAGCTTTTCGTCGTTGAATGATCACCAGCTTATAGTCCGATTCCTAAATTGTTAGAATACAATTTCAAGATTTACAATTGACAAATTTAACAAAGTTAAATGTCTAATTTTAGAGTAATTGACAATTAGTTGAGGACAGATGAAGATTTAGTAGCTAATCAATATAATAGATGGCAGCTTGAGTCATGTTGATTGTTGGTGAAAAAATTGAGCTCAATTCATATAACTGAATCGCAATAATTTACCAAGTATGAATTGAGCATCAACCAGCTACTGAGCATGAAAACTTGAATACATTGTTTAAATGAAAAAGAAACTAATACTTTCACTAAGTCCACTCCAAAGTCAACAATAAGAAAATCACAATAACATCAAAACAATTTAATCTTTTTGCTTTAAACTTTTAAGTGGTCAGTTAATTATCAATAGTGACCAACTTACTGAATTTTAATTCATTGAAATTGAAAGTTCCGTTTTTCATTTCAATAGAAATTTGACTTTTTTTTTGAAACTTTGGTAATCAAACTATTGGATTTAAAGTTAATGTTGAAAATTAACATTGAGAGTGAAAAATTTTATTCCTACATTGAAAACGATTGAAGTTTTTTACTAAAGGAATCTAATTAGACAATATTTAACCTTCATTGAGATTTAATTGTTGATCAATAATTATCATTGAGAAAATGCCAAGAGGTTGTAAAGATGATAAGTAAGTATTGAAGGTGGAGAGAAAAATAAATTTTCGAAAATAATTAAGTTCGAACTGTTCAAATTTGTTAAATTCTTACAATCAGATTAAAAGGATCTTGGGTTGTCGATCCAGCTAAATCATTTTACTACCGTTGGCTTGGGATTATCACCGTTGCCGTCCTTTATAATGTCCTAATGATAATCGGTCGAAGTGTTTTCTGGAGACTCCACAATTCCCACCCATGGATTTGGTTCGCAATCGATTATATCTGTGATTTTGTTTATATTGTCGATATGTTTGTCAACTCGAGAACAGGTAAGTTGATAAAAAATTTTGCTAAAAGATTTAACCCTTAATCCAAATTCTATAATCTTCTTTAATCTCATCTTCAATCAAATCTAAGATGAGATAATGGAAATTGTTACAAAAATTCAATTCTTTCTCCAATCGATTAACCATCGTGATAATTGATAATTTTACCGTTATTTGAGTGATAAATAATCGGTTCCTACCTCAGGTGTATTACGATTAAATTGTTAGCTGTTTGATTAATGAACTTTATTGTTATCTCCTTATACATGAATATTGTTCATAGTTAATCGTGAAAATGAACCTTGATGATGATGATTACTACAAAAACAATTCATCTTCAAAGAGGTTAACAATAATATTAGTGATAAATTATCACCTTAATCATCATTATGTAAATTGTTATCATTAAGTTTTCATCTCAATTGTTATCAAATTAATTATTTTTTTCACCATATTCTCAGAAGACATTAATTGTCATTCCAATGTAACAGGCTAATTGAAAGTGTTACTTTATATAATTACCGTTAATCAGGGAGTTCTGAAAAAAAAAGTTCTGATCATATTAAGTATTCATGATAAATGAAATGATTTTTCATCTCTCTTTCTCTCTTTCGAGTGTGAAACAATTAATCAATTGAAATAAATCGCTAACAAATTGGATAATCATTTTGATCTAAATTGTGATCACTTCATTGATCGTTAACAGTCAATTTGTTGATAATTTATATTAATATAAATTCTGGTAACTTTTTCTTATTCTGTTACAATGTCAACATTAGAAGTTTATTTTTTTTTCTTATATTCGTTCATAGCTCGAAATTGTTTATTGGCGAGAAAGAAAAATCTCATTTCAGATAATTAGTTGATTTAGTTTAATCAAGATAATTTCTTACTACAATTGTGACAATTAATTCTGTTACTTTGATAGTTATTAGCTGAATGCTATTCATGGGAATATGAGTATAAAAAAGTTTCCAAGTGTTCATCATGATGGTGAAACAATCAACTCGACTATAATTATGATTGTTAATATATTATCAACTCTTGATATTGAGTAAACAATTAGTGAATCAAATTGTTACTTTGTTTGATGATAATTAAATTTGACATTTAATTCTGTAATCAACATGATGAAAATTTCATTCATTAGGTTTCATTTAATGTAATTATTGATTCCCTTTAATTGAAGAAGTAAATTTACTTAAAACAAACAATTAATGATGTTTAACATTACAATTGTATTAATTAAATTGCTTTTGTATTCACATTAAGGTTAATTTAATTTTGTTAAGATTTAATTGATCACAATTAGATGAATCTGATGATGATCATCAAAATCAATTCTTTGATCTCTCATGTTAATCTGTTGAAAATTGAATGATAAAAACTCAAAGTGATTGATTCTGATTTAATGATTACTATTGATCATTATTATATGTGATAAATGTGATGACAATTCTGATAAAGGATTCTGGTGGTTTAATCTCAGAATTTATCAGAATGAAAAAAAAAACCGCAAAAAATTGAGAAACAATTATCATCACAATCATGAACCGAAAATAAAGTTGATAAGTTCATTTTCAATCTCTTCGTGAATTTCTTGGTTCATATTTCACTTTAATTGAATTCAGTTTAAAATTCACCATGAAAATGTTGCAAACAATCAACTTGAGTTATTCTGTTTCCGCATCTTCATGAATCTTCATGTTTTGATATTTTTACCTCCCAATTGTCAAATTGACATGAAATTATTTTTTGTTTAATCGCCTTAAGGTAACTAGAAAAAAAGATGAATGAAATATCAGAAAAAAAAAGTTGAAATGAACTTTTTTTCATGAGAATCTAATTTGATTGAACTTTGATAATCATGTATACGTTTTTTTACACTAATTGTAATTCAATATCAGTTTCATTTCATTATGCTCAGAGAGCATTGATTGTCAGCTAAGCTTTTCCAATGTTATTAATATTGATAATTCAACTTGAGTCTCTTTTTTCATGATAAACTTCAGGATGAATATACGATTTTTTTTTCATATTTATTAAACTTTGGTATAATTATTGTAACTAAACATTTTAATAGGCCAAGGCGAATGTTACCCGGAAGTGAAAGTTAATTTCCGCTTGAAACTTAATTATATCAAACAAATTATCAACTTGATAGTGATAAACATGAACAAAATAACTAATTAATCGTGAACAAGCAATTGGATTTACAACATTTTTCTCATTTTCTCAATTAGAATTAACTTTTTCCACTTATTTCTCGGTGGAAAAAGTGATATTTTCATCATGTTTCAGGAGAGAAAAAACTTTTCCTCTCAACAAAATTTCATTGATTCAATGGATTCACATGGATTTTCATGTTTTATTTGTCATCAAATTTTCCTGTAGTTTTCAATCTCTCACTCTTATTATTACCTTTTTTTTAATCACCAAGTTGGTCAATCTGATGGTCATCGCTGGTTTATCATCTTGATCACAGTAGTAAACATCAAATATTGAACTTACAACTTAATTTTATTAGTATTTGCGGTTACCTTGGAATCGGAATCATCTTTTTTTTCATCTCATCCTTGATTCATCTTGTGATTGTTCAGCTCTTTTATCATGAGGATATAATACTGATCAGACTATCATGATGACCAATTTATTGAATCATCTCATCATCATGGGTAATTGTTGGTCCAAGATTATGTTGTTTTCATCATTACTGCTCTTCACTGGTCAACTGGTCAGAGTAAAAAATGTTAACATGGAGAAAAACAAAAATGAGGATAAAAGTTCTTGAAATTTTTTCTTTCCATCAAAAAAGAAAACTAGATGAACAGAAAATTCAATAACAAAAGGGATAATCATCTCGATGATAATGAAGAGGATTAAAAGTGAGTGGATGATGGAGATGAAAAAAAAATTGATGACATTTTCCATCACTATAACTTGTTGATACAGTTGATGAGTGAAGGTTAATCAAGTTACATTATTTAATTTACTTTGATGGTGACTGATAATGTTTACGTAATAATAGTGATAATAAATGATGAATAGGTTTATGGAAGGCTAGATAATGAAGAAAAAACAAAAACTCGAACTTGTTAGAACAATTTTTTCGAGTTTTTTTTTTCTTGTCTTCTTTTCTTTCTCATTCACTTTCTCTGTTTCCTTTTCCTGCTAATGCACTTGGAGGTGTCTTATGGATTAAATAATAACATTTAATATGATAGAAAATGACAAAAATAATTAACACAATAGAAGAGAAAAATAAACAAAGCTAATTATCGGGTTTAACCTTCACCAATTGATAACATGTCTTAATCAATCACATGGGAAAAGAAGCAAAATAAAAGGGAAAATTAATCAACTAATCAACAAGCTTTTTGTTTTTCTTAATAATCAGAGTTTCAAATCATGATTAATGGCTCTGATTATTTTGGTAAGCTAAGAATTGTTGATTAACCAAAGGAATTGAATCAATCAGAGAATTGGATCATGATAAGGATTAATGAATTATACCAAATTCTAACAAATTGATTTCCAATTTTCTGATTTCATGATAATTTACTCAAGTTCAAGGTGGAGATCAGATTGTTACTCGAAACTTTTTGTTTCTTAGAACAAAAAATTTTTGTTTTTCCAATTCAAATATTGACCATTTAAAATTATCGAATCCAAATTATCTTGAAAAAGAGATGAGAGTTGATGATTAGATTATTTTATCGTAATCATGTTGGACCCTGATAACCTCAAATCAGATTAGATTTGTGATGATTGATTAATCAAAGAAGAGGAAGAAAAAAATAATAGCTGATAATACAAGGAGGATATAAAGATGAAGGCGGAAGTAGTCAGAGGATTTGAAATTTATTGCATCATCTTGATAAATCCATTTGTATCCTTTATCTTATCTTCATCCTCCTCCTGCAATCAGTTTTTATCTCATCTTACATCCAATGGATAATCAAACATACATGGGAAAAGTAGTTGAACTAAACTGGAAACGGAATGAGGTTACTTAATCCTCGAGGATCAAATCATATGAAGATTAAGTAACAAATGTTCAGGTTGTTTTTTCCTGGTCTTTATTTTTTTTTTGGTCCTTGCAGGTCAGATCATTTTCTTGCCTTGGAAAAAGTACAAAGACAATGGTAATATTAATTCCCGGGATAAAAGTCAATTGTCAGTTGCAACCAGAACTTTGTGAACAGTTTTCTGTAGCTGAATAACATTTCACTTCTCTATTGTTGCTTTTGTCTCTTTCAATGTTTTTTTTTCTTCTTACCAGATGAGAGATGCAATTAAAAAACACATCATGGTGACATTATTTTCACCATGAAACATAAGCTGAATCATTTGTGATAATAGGAATTGAAAATTGCCTAAAGGTTGATAAGTGTTTGTTTTTATATTTTATTCATGGTGTGAAAGTGAAACAAAAACAGATGAGAGAAAAACAATAAGATGTAAATTCAGGCGGAAAATCTGAATCATTATCCTGATATTTGAGTGACAGTAAAAGATTACGGTGAAAGAGAGAGAGAGAGAGAGAGAGAGAGAGAGAGATTCAAGTAAATGGTGGTAAGACTGGGAGTGGAATAATCTGAAAGAAAGTTCTGTAAGATGTTGGATTCTGATATCATGTTGGAACTTTTTTTCCATTTTCATCCTTTTCTCCTCCTCTATGGGTTACATTTCCCTCCTCGGATAAATTGTCCAAAGAAATCATTAACTCGTTAGACCAAAAGAACCATAATAATTGAGGAAAATCTGGTTTTCTATGATTATGATGATGATCATGGTGATTGCTGAATCAAGAATTGTTCTTTGACTGGATAACCTTTATTTAGATACTCTTCCTCAATCATCAGCATAACCTTGTATCCTTACTGATTTAATATAAAATATTATCTGTTTGACCATCATCATGATTCTGGTTTCATTGTTATCAATAATCTCAATTGAATGAAATGATCTAATGCTATGAGACTGTTGACAAAGGTGATATT